CGACTGCTTTCCTTATGTTTTCTTTCATTGAACGAAAAGAATTTAGCCCTTGACACCCCCCCCCTTGTGTGTGTGTGTGTGTGTGTGTGCAGAGACATGGGAAAGGAGGACAGTAGCTCTTGCATATGCTTTTTGATAATTGCAGCAGCTAATTTTGTATTGATATACTCAATACAATTAGTACTCCTATTTTATTCTTCCTCCAGGCCCCTAGAGCACCATGTCCTCTTCCCTGTCATGACAGTAGGCGTTTCATCGAGTTCAACAGTCCCTACACCAAGAGGTGTTTTTTGGTAGACCATGAAATTTGGGCCTCTTAGCATCCCTCTGCCAGCACTCTCACAAGCCATCACCTTTTCTGGGTGCTTTAAAGGTGTTTTTAATGGCCCATTCATGAGCGAATGGTGAAACCAAAACCTGTCTGTTTCTATGTTGAACAAACATTACTTGTCATGCTGAATCCATATAACTCACAACCTGTGCCGGAACTCACAGGAGGGCACCATGCGCCTAAGGTCCAGGGTTTTTTGGCCAAAGCTTAGAGCATGTGTTTTTGTATATATTCTTAGCAAACTCTGGCCCAACTACATTATTTCCTAGGTTCCACAGTGGTTGTGTAATGTGTAAACAGGCGATGGCTACAAATGGAATGTACAGAACCTTGTTCAAAGGCCACTGCTGAAGAGATATCCAGCAAGGCCGAGGAGGGCCTTCAACCTCGTCCTTTTACTTTCAGTGTCTTCTCAGAAAATAAGCTCCAATCATATTAGCTCAGTGACGTGGAATTATTTTGGATGTGTGCATGTGCAATCATGTTCATGTGTTGCATATGTTAGCCCCAATGCATGTATTGTATATATGCCCTGATGCATGTGTTGCGGTCAGAGGTCAACCCTGGATGTCAGTCCTTGCCGTTCACCTTAGTTTTGAACAGGATCTCTTGTTGTTAACAGCTACATACACCAGGCTAGCGGGCAGAAAGCTTCCGGGGGCTGGCCTAAGTACCTCCCCTCATCCAGCTGGGTCAAGTCAACAGCACTAGGAGTCAGGACCCAGTGTACAAAACAGGCCAAAAGTACCACTAAAACTACTAAAACATAAAGCATTTCCTTTGTCCTGTGGTCTATTCTTGTCATAAATATTTGCAAGTTAATTTTATGCTAAGTAGAGAAATTTTTTAAAACTGGAAGTTATTAATATCAATTTTACCATTTACCTTTGAACACAAAGATGAGTACTTAACTCCTCCTGCATGTGTATTTCTTTATTCCCTTAAGAGGGCAGCATAAGGGCTGGGGCTGGGGCTATAGCTCAGTGGCAGTATGCATGCCCAGTACTTATGAGGCTGTAGGTCCAATCCCCAATACTTCCAGGGAGAAGAAAGAAAACTGTTGTTTTGAAGTTGCTTTGACAGTTCTTTGGGGGAGGGGCAGTGGCTCAGTGGGTAAAGCACTTGTTTCACAAACATGAGAACCTGAGTTTGAATCCCCAGAACTCATGTACCAGCCAGGCACTGTGCACTGTGTTTACAATCCCAGCACTCTTAAGGTGACATGTCCGGTAGAGAGAGGAATATCCCACAGAACCTCCCAGGCCTCCTAGCCAGGGTAAGTAGTCAGGTGGCAAACAAGGTAGAAACCTTGCCTCAAGTTAAGAGGGAAGGGGAGGACTGATAAACATTATTGGTCTCTGATGTCATACATACACATAAAGGAATGCAAAAATCTTTTTAAGTTGGGAGTCTTCCTTTTAAGCTCACCAGATTGTTAACCATCTCAACAAGACAGCAACATGCACACACAGGAAGGAAAGAGGAATAATTTGTTTGTAATGCAGAACTATTTCTGAATTCACAATAAAACCCAGTGTGTGGTTTCTGCAGGGTGTATCCTTGAAATGTTGCTGTTATCAGAAAATGATGAGCCCTCACTTTCAATATTAGCTACTCCATTTTCAGCTCTTTTAATTTGGAGCCAATCAGCTATCTAATAACATGGAGCTAAATGTTCATTGATGAATATTTTTGTTTGCTCGTTTTTTGAGATAGGTTCTCATTGTTTACCCCTGGCTGTCCTGGAATTTGCTATGTAGACCAGGCTGAACACAATCTCAGACATCCCCACTGCTTCTGCCTCTTGAGTGCTGCGAGTAAAAGTGTGTACCACCACTCCTGGCTTTATTGATACATTATCACATTAAATTAGATAACATAATTGTCCTCCATTGTAGAACTAATGGATCATAATAAGGACAGAAGACAAATACATATAAGGGCCTGCCTTGCACTACTGCTCTTAATTCCCAACCCAATCAATGTCTGAACCAGCACAACATTGATAAGCACAGTCCTTTACCCGTATATTATTTCTAATGGACATGAAAGACCCTGTTTTACATACAGAGGATGAAGAATCATGTCATTTAGCTCTCTTCAATCCAAAGAGGCTACTTGAGACTGAGAAAATTCATTACTGGGGAAAACAGATTGCTTGAGAGGACAACTGAAGGATGACACACACTGAGGGAGCCAAAGAAAAGGTGCTATACAGGATGTAAAGGGGCCTTTTCATGGAGATCTGGTGTCAAAGAAGTAAAGCAGCTTGTCTTTCGTTAACTCTGTTAACTTAGAAGAACCCCAATTCATGTGTGCTGGCAGAAAAGACAAAGAAAGTCTTAACAAGGACAACTACCCTTAAAGGTTGAGCCTCACTTGTGGACTCCACAAAGGGTTTTAGAATACGGTGCTGGAGAGATGGCTCAGAGGTTAAGGCAAGGCCCCTTGCTGCTCTTGCAAGAAGATCCAAGTTCAGTTCCCAGCACTCATATCAGACAGCTCACAAACACCTGTATTTCCAGCTCCAGGAGAAACTTACACTCTTCTGGCCTGGTCAGAGAGAGCACTGTACACATGGCAACATGCCTACATAAACACAGATACGTGCATATATATAAATGAAGAATCTCTTGTTTTTAAAACAGTATTGGATGGCCGGATGTGGTGGTGCACGCCTTTAATCCCAGTACTTGGAGGCAGAGGCAGGCAGATCTCTGTGAGTTCGAGGCCAGCCTGGTCTACATAGCGAGTTCCAGGTCAGCTG